ATTAGTTGGGAAAAGGCTAAAATGATGATGCATTTCAGTTGGGCACACGTAAAAAGATAAAAATAATTCAAAAATCAAATATCAAAAACACCCTTAAGAATGTTGCAGAGGTTTTTTTGCTATTTTTATATTTTAAATTATTTTTTCAAGGGATCAAGTTTAAGAGTCATACTATAAAGCTCTAAGAGAGAATTATTGAGCAACAACTAAGACATGAAACGAGTGTATCTGAAAATCAATTTAGTTTTATACCGGGGAGGTCAATAATCATGGCTATTTTCCCACTTAGGCAACTGATTGAGAAGTTTAGAGCGAAGGGAAAAAACATCCACATGGTCTTTATTGATCTTCAGAAAGCTTATAATAGAGTACCTAGAGATTTTATTTGGTGGGTGTTAGAAAAGAAAAGATTCTCTAGACACTTCTTCTACTTGGTGAGAGATATGTATGATGGAGCGCTTACTAGTGTACGAACAACTAGTGGAGAGATGAGTGAGTTTTCAGTGACAATAGATCTACACCAAGGGTCAGTATTGAGTCCATAATTCTTTGTCTTAGTTATGGACGACTTAGCTAGGCACCTACAGGATGATGTATTGTGGTGCATGTTGTTCACAAATGACCTAGTTTTGATCAATGAAACCCAAAACAGTGTCAACACGAATTTAGAACTTTGGAGGGATGCTCTAGAATCTAAAGGTTTTAAAATTAGCCAGACTAAGATAGAGTATATGGAATACAAGTATAGTAATAATAGAAGTAGAGACAAGGAAGTTAAGATTGAAGGCCAGAAAATACTAAAAAAAACCGCACTTTCGATATCTTGGGTGGAAAATCCATAAAAATGGAAAGATTGAGGAAGATGTCGTACACAAAATTAGAGTTGGGTGGGCAAAATAGAGATGTGCAACAGAAATTTTATGTCATCGCCCCATACCAATGAAACTGAACAACAAGTTTGACAGGAAAACTGTGAGACCAACTTTGCTCTATAGGGCGGAATGTTTGGCAGTCAAAAAACAATATACCCATAGAATGAGTGTACCAAAGATGAAGATGTTGAGATGGATGAGTGGCAAGATAAGAAGGGATAGAATTCGAAATGAAATCATTCAAAAAAAATTATGTGTGGCATCAACAGGCGATAAGATGAGAGAGTAGACTAATGTGGGCTGGCCATGTGTGGCAAAGACCCAGTACAAAACTTGTTAGGAGGTGTGAGTTAGTTAAAGTGGAAGGCTCAAAAGGGTATGGAGAAAGCCCAAAAGGATATAGATAGAAGTGGTGAGGAAAGATATGGGGACTTATGGCCTTACTAAGGGCATGACCCTTAAGAGAGCAGAATGGTAGACTAGGATTCATGTAGCTGCCCAAGTGAGGCACACACAATCTCAAATTTTCTAGTCAAGCAGAATTGTAGACAAAAATAATTAAAAATTCAAATTAAAATTCAAATACTAATACTAATACGAAAATGTACTACAAAATGCCATTACGAAGATAAAAATCACATTAACAATAAAAAACTTTAGAAAAGGGCATACGTATAATTTTATATTGCTTTTAAAATTCAATCATTATTAAAAAAGTCAAAGGAATTTTTTAAATTTGAAATTGAGGTTTAGAGGGAGTTTGAACGGACAAAAATACCCTTCTTAAAGTAAATGAACTACTTATAGTCAAACGTCATTTTTTAAAATATAAGGTATTTAATGGTCAGAAGTTTGGAATTAGTAAATTAGTTCACTATTAGTGGTGTATCATTAAATATATATATATATATATATATATCACACAGCTCAAGTTTGATTTTCGGAAACATCTAAAGCCGAAAGCACCACATAGATGGTTCTCAACAGCACATCTATGGGTATGGGGGGCTCACAACACTCAAGTTCGATTTTGGGCACCACATAGACGATTGTCGGCAGCACATCTATGGGTTTGGAGGACCATCATTTGGTAGATACAAAACTGCACTTATAATTCTGGCGATTTTAGCAATATTACCCACTTAGAAGACACCCAAGTGACTTGGAGAACGTTCTCTCTCTCTCTCTCCCAATAAAAGTCACCCTCCCTTACCCCATTCCTTATATGACCTGCTTAAATAGATTAGTCATACAAATTACTTTTGAATGGTCTTTCCATTTGATTATACCCTTATTAAAAAAATGAACTTTTAGAAAGATGCACCTTCTTTATGACCACATCAATTACAAGTTAAACATACTTATTACTTCGACAAATGTCTCTGTTGTTGGAATATATAAATTTCTAGAAATTTTTTAATTTTAATACTATCAGGACAACTTTTTCCTATAGTTGTTAGTTGGAAGCTATTTAGGGATTGGAAGCTGGAGATCCTGAAAGGCTACAAGCCCTATGTTGGAAGCATTGTCCTTACAATGCATATTTCAGGATCTCAAACCCCAACTTTTTTGGGGATCTCAATCTCGGCCTTTTGGAGATCTTGCGCGCCCAAGCTTAGTATACTATATAATATATACTATAAAATACTATTGTACTATATACAAAGGAAAATTGTTTCATGTGGTCTAGACCGCATTCCTAAAATATGTGGTCCAGAGGTATAAAGCATCCATCTTAAAGATGGACTCAAATAGGTGGTCCATCTAAAAACAATTGTCAATAACGATCCAAATGTTTTCTTACTATAATTATTATTTCTAGTTTTCAAATTTTGTTTTTTTCATATTCATTATCTCCATGTTAAAGATTACATATACTCTAAAGTTAGGATCAAATTATATTTAACAAATATATTTATTACCAAGCCTGCATTTCTACAATATGTGGGCTAGCCACATAGAAAATGTGTCTATATACAAAATACAATTATTCTTTACTATATTAGTATAGTAGATATTGCATACTACATTGCAATAGTATATAATACAATACATATACTATGATGCTATGGCGTCAGGATCCCAAGTAACTTAAGCTCACGATCCCCAACAATGGGGATCAAGATCCAAATATTAAAAAATCCGGATCCCTTGAAAATCTCTCCTGTAATGACAACGCGTAATCACCACATGGTGAGACGCAACTATGGTTTTTCCTTAAGTGCCCAACTTAAATGCCATAATTTCATAAGAAAATATCTACTTTGAATGAAATTTTAAATTTATTCTCATATTCAAGTAAACATACGATGGTTTCCTGGAAAAATGTTCCTTCTTAATAACTTACATTAATTAAGAGTTAGATGTGTAATATTTTAATAAGGAAGATACTACAAAGCGCCAATAGGAGAAAATGAACAGTGATTTCGCCTACCCTCATCACCGTCCAAAGTTTATTGAACCGTCACGATTGTCCGGTAGTGTTTTATTTTTTATTTTTTTTCTACAGATCCCAATGACCTGAAATTTGGAACGTGTATTCATTAAAAATAGACAAATCTACAAAAAATATCAAAAAAATATTTTACATGAAATATATTGATCAAAATACCCCTGAAATATTTTGGGGGCATTTTGGTCATTTTATTTTTTGCGAATTATTTTTTTTATATTTTTATTAGGTGCGCCTCACTAAGATGTACACGCGCTCAAATTTCAAATCATTCCGATTTGTAAAAAAAAATTAAAAATAAAACACTACTGGACAATCGTGATCATGTGATGAACTTTGGACGATGATAAGGGTAGGGCGAAATCACTGTTCATTTTGCCTATAGGCGTTTGGAAAAACTTTTCTTTTTAATAAGAACCCGGTTTCTATGCGGCTAATCCCGCATATGGAGAAATGTAGGCCTCTTAGTAAAT